CACTGGGTTGGTTGTGTTTCCTGTAATATTATTTTGAAAGCTACATGAGCTGCTCTGCCAGCCACACCCTTAATTTGATGAATACAAGCCAGGTGTGAGGAACACACACAGCCTGGAAGAAGTGCTGGCAAGCAGACAGCTAATGGACTGAAAACATTCAATTTTTTGCTAAAGAACTATCTAGTGAAAGGACTTAAAGAAGGACAGATGGATTCCCTTTGCGTTTTAAGCAAAACAGCCAACGAGGTATTTATTTGTCTTTATTTTGTTGCACATTATTGTATATGTTTTAATTGTGCTATCCTGTATTTAGTTTCACGGTTTAAGGGAGGTCTAAGGAAAGGAGGTCAGAAGAGGTCCACAAAGAAAGGACGTCCAATAAACCCGTAAAGATATCACTTGCGTCTGTGTTGCTTGGAGGGAATCACACATACGTATCCGTAATGTAACTGCTGTGTCAAATTGACAATGGGCTGAGATAATGGTCAATGAATTCAGCCGAGTGGTAGGTTTCACTGCCACAATCCGAGACTATCAGCCGTCCTGGGGGAATCTCGTATAGTTTGCTCCAGTTTTGAGGTTCCTTGTGAATTTTAGGCAGCAGATAGAACCTGCGGGCTCTCGATTCGATGGATCCTAATAAATAATTTCTTTGTTTGGCGTCGATGAATTTCTTTTCATATAAATTGGTAGTTTTGGAATCCAGGGGAATTGTTTCTGGGAAAATTTGTTTGTTTAATTTTTTATAATAGTTGGTGTCTAGTAATTGTCTTTTCCCTTCCCAAATATACTGCTCTCTGTCTAAGATTGCTGAAGCAGACTCACTGGGCCCTTTATTTTAAATGCTCCCTCCAGTGGAGAAACAAATGGTTTGCAGTGAATTTGGTCCAGTGGACCTTGTCCTTTTTGACCCTAAATTTGCTCCGTTCCAAAGCAGGGATGTAGTATCTAAGGTTGAGGATGAAGCTGTTCTGATGTAGCAGCATCATCTGTTCTCTGCGAGGTAAGGCTGTAGAGAAGTCAATTGCAGGCACCAAAATCTCCGCATTGGGACATTTTTGTGCAGCACAGCAGAGAGCCGCCCTAATTTCAGTGATCAGACCTTTTTTGTCTGTGCCACAATGGTTATTGATACCAAAAGGTAGAATCAGCTGTTTCACATCTGCCAAAACCACAGCCTTCTGGAATAGGTCAGCTACATGCTTCCATTTAGCACCTGGGAATGAATCTATCTGCAGATTCTGTGTGTAGTTGTGTCAGATTTGCTCACGTTGGAATCTCCCACAATCACCCACTCCTGTTGTAAAGTTAGTGACCAGTGTAGAGAACCTGGCTAGGCTCTGACAATTATGTAGTGTAATGGTTTATGCTCTTTTATGAAAGATGAACCATCTTACATATTAATTTGAGATATTCATTTTTAACAAATGAATAACCAAATTTTATAGTTTTAAGAAGACTCAAAGGTTGTTTTCATCGATAAACTGACAATAATATCCGTGGGTCTGTGTTTCAGTTCAATGAAGAGACAAGTTTGAAAGTTAAAAGTTTTAATTCTTCAAATTAAACTAATGATTTTGAAATGACAAGCATAGGAAACAACAATCAACATTGGCAACTTTGTTGAACAATCTTTAACAGTTGATATTTTAAACTTGCTCAAATAGACCTTGTGTTGAATGTGTGAAAATTGAGAATGAGGTGAGATGAATGCTTGTGTACGTCTGATTTTGCTTCAGGAAGAACAGGTGTCTGAGTGAAAAGTGATGGTTTGAATAAACTTAGGTTTCGTTGGAAAAGATGCATCAAACGCTATCTGTTGTGGACTGCCTCACCGTATTCGGACCCTCTTTTAGATACGGGACCCAGGAGGGTGGTACTCCAGATGACACCTCAGCTGGCAGAGGAGACGGAGGTGTGCTGGCGACCGGGTCCAGAGTTGCCCCTCGGTACACGTGATGATAAAGCGTTTGCAGATGCGCTTTCTTAAGTTTAAATTACTCAGAAATCAAAAGACTCTGTACGAGTCTGCGTTAGCTGGTTGCAATTTGGCTATCCTGTCTGGCTTGGCAGGGATAGCGTGAGGGGGGGGGGGGGGGGGAAGGATCTGCAGCCCCGTTCCCCGTTGGCGGTTGTTCACAAGTCCTCCCTCTTTCGTTGTCAAACACCAACTGAATCATGAACTGAAAACTTACCAAAAGCCTTTCTCTTCTCAAAGCAAAACTTGTGCGTCAGAGCAAATGTGTTTTGGAGTTTACTGTGAGAGAGTGTGTTTGTGTGAAGGTCATTATAACATCTTCAAACATTATTTAATTAAGCATTGATTCATTAGTTATTATGATTACCCAAAGCATAATATCATTCATTTGATTAAAACACATTTATAATGAGCAAAGTGATAAAATGATTATTTAACATTTAAAATAAAGAAAAGGAAGTTTAAGACTTTGTGTTATGACTAGCTTCCATGAGAACAACATCTTCTGGCACTGCAGGTGGCAGATGTTATGGTTTGCAGCAGACTCTTGCAGACTTCATGTCGGCAAAGGTCTCAATCTGTGGGTGAAAGTTCTCAGCGACCCAGCTCTTGACCCAGCCGGGCAAAGTACAACCTTTGGCACAGAAAACCCATATTTCCTCACGTTACACCAGTCACGTGTTTTATTGAAACTGTTCTGGTGTCTGTAAGGCTTGTTTACCTGAGGGGGGAGGGGGGGGGGGGGGGGCATGGTTACAGTCTCTGACGTATCTGACGTGGAGTGGGTGGTTGTAGGCAGCTGCCGCAAGCTGTAGGGGAAGGCCAGTTGGCATTGTGTGCTTCTCTCCATTTTGCTTTGTAGTGTTGTAGGTGGTGGCACCAAGATGTGGCCATTTCTGGGAGAGATTCCCCGCTGTGGTCTGGGGGTGTTGAGTGGAAACAAGCTGAAGACCCTCCTTGCGGATCTGCGTGGCTGTGGTTCAGGAGGGGGGGCTGGATCGTCGGATTGGAAGCCATCAGACAAGATCGTGACGTCATTGATGTCATTTGCAGCTTCAGCATCTGCCGGGTCTCTGTGTACCTGTGCCACAGTGGTGACTCGCAATGACGTCTCCGGCATCGCGTCCCCCTTCCTTGTAGCTCTCTGTGTCTCCTTGCGCTGTGGGAGGGGTTCCGGTGCTGGTGGGGGGGCGGTTGTGGTTGGAGATGTCACCCGTGTTGGAGGTTGTGGAGATGGTTTGGTCTCTGACGCTGCGGGCGACCATCCTGTGGCGATCGGCTCCGTCATGGTGGCCGTCCTGATCCGGTTCGGAGATGACGGGATGGTGCGTTGGGCAGACATCACCTGGGCTGCCGGTGGGGGTGGGTTGGAGGTGTCCGGGGTCCTCCTGCGGTCTTCCGTGTCCTCCCGTCTGCAGGATGGAGGTGCAGGTTCGTCCCTTGGGGCCGACAACAGGTAGGTTTGGATCTCGTGGAACGTTTCAGCTTGGAATCGATTACCCAGGTTCCGTCTGATCCCCTTGGTCGCTGTTTCTAGCGGGGCTAAAAAGTCCCGCATAAGCTCTCAGAGTGTCTTTCTCTGTTCGCACTTCATCCTCATAATGTTGTTTGAGGATGGTTACTGTTTTATAAGCCCGTGATCTGGCATTTCCGTCGATCAGCGTGAGAGTTCTGCTGCTCGGGGCCACGGGTTTAATTACCGTTGCTAGGTGCTTTGCTATGCGCTGAATTGCTGGCGGGTTTCTGTTAGTGTCTGATACATTTTTCAGATGTGTGGCTTTGAGTAGTCTGTGCAGAACTCTAACTTTAGCAGCAAAGTCCGGGTCATCAGATCTTTGTGTTTGGTTTTGATAATTGCCGTTGCGGGCTCGAGATGGTGCCCGACCCCGTGCGCCTCTTCCGTTCCGGTTCGGTGCTCTGGGTTGGAACCGGTGATTGTACCCGTCGTTGTGTTAATTAGGCGGTGGTCGCCATGCGTCCGTTGGTCTGGACCTGACCGCATCAGCGTAGGAGGGGTACCTTGGAGGCTGGTTTTGAGCAGGGCACCATTGTTGGGGGTATCCGGAGTTGCCCCGGTGGTCAGGTTGTTGCTGATGACGGTTAGGATTTTGTTTGCGGCGCCGTCCCGGCCTCCGGTGGCTAACCCGGGTCCAGTCCGTCTCGTCGTCCGGTTGGTCCCCGTACTCCCACATCCGTGCAGGGGCGTCTGGTCCGTTGGTTTTGTTGAAAAATCTATTATTTGGCTTTTGTTTATATATGCCTCACTAACTGTAGTAGGTTATCTGTGTAGCAGCAAAATTCAAAAACCTTAACTGAGGCTCACAAAACGTTTACTCGGAACTTTTTTCTAATAATAATGCCAAAAAAAGGTAAAATAACATAACAGGGTTAGGGTTAGGAGTTAAAGAAAAGAAAGCCCCAGTCGCCATAGGCGACTGGGGCTTTGTGCACAGGCTCTCCTCCATTTAGTCCACTGGTGCAGATCTATCCCTCATTTAAACCTGTGGGAACACGTGTATCCAATCTGCTGATCCAGAGCCTTTCAGCTCTTTTCCGTTGTTTTGTGGACCAGTTTGGATCTGATTGTAGAATCATGGCTGTGAGGGCTTGCCAGCCATGTTCAATAGTGTTTAACTACTGGTCGCTGTGTGTTATGGTTTTTTGTAATATTGTGCCTGTGTTGTGTGAAGCGTGTTAAAATGCCATTTCCTGTTTCTCCTACATATCTCATTTTACAGATTTTGCACTGAATTAAATAAACAGTTTTTGGTTTTAGGATTACCTGCTTGTTTGATGGGATTAATGGTTTTGTTAAACCTATTTTGTATCCAGCGCATTTAGTTAAAAAAATCACTTTGACCTTTGACCTTAGGTTGTTGTAGGGGTCTCAGCTTGGCCTGAACCAGGAGATCTTTTAGGTTTTGGTTCCGTCTGTAGGCCGCAATTACCTTGTGATTTTGCAGTAATTTAGTATCTGATTGGAATTTAGAAAAGTTTTGTTTAACTTTATGAATTAGTTTTCCTGCCGAGGGAGAATAAGTGGTGACCAAAGGCAACAATAGTGATGTGTCCTTGGGTCTGGACTCCCAAGAAGGAAGTTTTACATGTTTTCAAAAATGATCTAGAATATCCTCTTAAGGATAGTGCTGAAAACAGCATCCGAGTACTAGCTTCCTTGAAGTTGTCTTCCTGAGTGCAGATTCTATGGAAGCGAAGTAGCTGGGATTTAATAAGACCAGCATATGTGTGCTTAGGATGGTGACTGGTTTTAAAAAGTAGTGCGTGTGTCCGTGGGTTTAAAATAGACCTTGATGTCCAGTTTGTGTGTGGAGCTGAACTTTGGGCCTTTAAAGGTTGTGGTATCTAAAGAATCTACTGTTTTCGCATTGGTGGATGATTTCAGCTTTATGGATGGATTGTGTGTATTCAGCGTGTGTAGAAATAGCTGAAAATCTTCCTCCGAGTGAGTCCAGACACCCCAGATGTCATCCAGATATCTGTAATAATAATAGTGGTTTTTTCATACATTTATTTAATGCCTCAGTCTCCTATTGTGCCATGAAGATATTTGCATATGCTGGAGCAAATTTCTTCCTCATAGCTGTTCCCTTAATTTGCAGGTAAAATTGGCCATAAAATTCAAAATCTTTCCTTCTCAGATTAATTTGTAATGGCTGAAGTAGCTCCTTGTCTGGCCTTTTGCTGTTGGGGTGTTTAAGGAGAACTTGTTTCACTGCATTAATGCCTTTGGTTATGTCAATGTTTGTATATAAGCTGTCTATATCCATGGTGAATAGGATGGAGTTGTCTGGCAGGATGATTTGTTTGATTTTGTTAACAAAATCATATGTATCGTTGATGTAACTCTCATGCTTTATTGATAGGGGATTTAAATAGTGATCGATGAATCTGCTGTTTGATATGTTTCGCTATTGCAGTCAGACACGATGGGTCTACCCGGTGGGATCTCGTGGGGTTTACACCATTTTGCTGGTTCCTTGTGGATCTTTGGTAACAGATAGAACCTTCTGGCTCTTGGTTCCGAGAACCTTTGAGATATCTGCGCTGTTTTGCATTAATAAACTTTTTCTCATACAAAGAGTCAATGATTTTAGTCACCATGGGGATGGTCTCTGGATAAATGGGTTTGTCTAGTCTATTGTAATAGGTGGTGTCTAGAAGTTGTCTTTTACCTTCCCAGATATATTGTGCCCTGTCCATAATTACAATAGAGCTCCCCTTATCAGCCGGCTTGATGATAATTTTCTTGTTGCCTGTTAATTCCTTGAGTGCTTTGGTTTCATTAATACTTAAAGAGCAAGTAACGTCTAAATTAACTTTTTTTTGCTGATGAACTGTATAAATGAGTGTCTAATAGTGTTTTAAATGTGTGTATTCATTATTTTAGCATTTTGGTGCATTTTCTTTAAAAATTAAAAATTCTGCCTAAATACCACAGTATAGCTCCACCTTCAGCTTAAAACATAGAATTTGACTCATTTTGAATAAATTTTAGCCAATGGCTAAAGAGTAAGATACTACGTAAACTAGTAGAGTACTACGTAGCAGCTCTCTGTCAAAGTTATAAAAGGATCGAGCGTCTCGGCCACGCCTTGTGGCGAGTTGGGAGTTGGATTTGCAAGCGAGTGTAGGAGGCTAGCTGTAGTTCAGCATTAGCATATAGCATTAGCATATCCTAGTCTTTAGCATAGCTTTTAGTGTTATACATACTTATTTAGTGTTAGCTTGGCTGTTGGATATTGTAGTTTAGTTAGTGTTTGGCTGTTAGTGTAATTAGGAAAGTAGTTCGGGTTTAGTGCTCCATATCGTGTTAGCATGGTGAGATGGTGTAGTGTAGTATGGTTGCGGTAGCTCTGTGGGGTTGCACTCCTTTCCGCTGGACTCCCGCCTGGTGCTGTAGTTTGCAACCAGCATTTTACCCGCGATTCTGCACGTCTCCGTTTGAAGAGGGAGGCTGTACCCACCGTGGCTCTTCCGCGATTTAGATGCAGCCCACCGACTCTGCTCCCCCACCATGGCGGGCTCCAGTCTGAGGTGAGTACGCTAAATAAAGTTTTAACATCTTCTAAAGACAATTCCCTACCTAAATGCAAAGTCCGAGAGACGTGGTTCACTTCATTTAGCTAGTCAGTCGGTAATTCCGCAACAGTGTCTCTAACTGACGCAGCACTAGTTGACAGACAGCATTACAGCATGAAATCCAGCTTGTGAACAGGTTCTGTGAGGAATTCTGTTCAGGAGGTCGCATTTCAGGCTCTCCACATCATATGTGACTGACTTTTACGTTATAACAACGATCACACGCTAGGAATGTTATAAAGCGCCTATATAGGACAGTTTCTTATGTATATTATCTGACTTTATAAACTCCCAACAACAATGTGCTTCTATTTTTTTTCCCAGGCTAAATCTACCCAAGACACTGGCTGTCAGACTGATTTAGCTGCAAGAATGCACTTGTCCAGGCTGACGTGAAGCTTTACCGGCGTAGCAAAGGTGAATTATTTTTAATAATCTTCTATGTAAACATTTTATTATTACCTTCTAGTTTTAATTTGTTTTACAGATTATTGTTACACGTGATTTTATGCTCTTTTAAACATTTATAAATGTGCTGCTTCTTTGTTTTTGTACATAGCCAGCCAGAAGAGCTCACAGCCTCAGTATGTCTTGTGACACAAGGATCATGACGGAAATTCATTTCCCAGAAAGTCAGAGCAGCGGCCACACCCCCTGAAAAGACCACGATGTGAGGTGTCTGCTGTTGATTCCAGCTTCCACCTCAGTGACAGTGCAAGCTCAGTGAACTGTTCAAGGTAAAAAAAATAAAACATTTCAGAATTTTTAAGATATTAATTAAATAAGTATGTGATTACATCATGAAGGAGGCTACTGATTCTGGCCCTGTGACACTTGGTGGTGACGTGTGAGCTGATTCACCTGGTAAATAACTTTTACATTAAATATTTTGTTTTTGCTATCAAAAGTAAATTAACTAATAACCTGCATTATTGCAGGACACTCAGCAAAATATGGACTCTACACCATGAGGCAGGCACACATTAATACTCTATAAGAGCACATAAGGTGAGCAACACCACATATTATTGTACACTGTCCTGGATTTGTTTTCTTTCTGTATGATTTGTTTTCTTTCTGCGTCTCATCATTAGCCTGGCTGATCACCTGATAACTCCTGTCATCTGGTTGTGACAGCATGAGGATGTCCTCACACACCTGTACCCTATCAGCTCATCTGGCAGAATAGAGAGAGAAGAGACAACACCACATCTCCTGTTCCTGGAAAGCCTTCAGCCATCCTTCGATGACTGAGAACCTCCATCAGCTCTTTCTCCTGTCTGCCCACAATTATTATAATAAATATTGTGTTTGACAAGTTTTTTGTGCTGCCAAATATCTCATTTAGATTCCAGTTTTGATATTTTAATGGATATTTATAAATTACATTAATTGAATTATCACATTGTCGCATGTTTAACTTGCTCTATTGTGATGAATTAAACTAGCACCCCACTGTTAAAAGCTCGTTTTAATTTCAAGCATGTTTAAGTATTTATGGACATGAACAAAAATAGGAAATATATCAGTTGAGATTTATTTAATTAATATAACAAATAAGGGGGAAAGAGTCATTGAAAGGCACATTCTTCTGGAAGCTCCTGATCGTGACAACACCAGCAAAGGAGACCACCTGCAGACACCAGAGGACCTAGAACCGAGAGAGCAGCTGTTATTAGTAAATAAAGAAATCAGGGCAGTTTTAGTGGGCTGAACACATTACAGAATAATTTTCTCATGGGATATTTTCATAACTTTATGCAGCAGACTGTAACTTGAGCCCAAGGCTCTTGGAGACCTGCTATCCAGCACGTTTCAGTGGTTTTCCTGCTTTAAGAGGTTGGATTAGCTGTTAAGCAGCTCAGCTATTTGTTGCTGATTAAAGCCAGGTGTGTTGAAGCAGATACACCTCTAACACATGCTGAATACTAGCTCTAGGGCCGTGGAGACAAACCCTGCAGCTAATCTGATGCTATGGCTAACGGCTACTTACATTCAGAGCTGGTTCTGTAGGGTCGGTTCCTGTAGTTTCAGGCAACTCACAAGCTCAAAACAATAAAACTCAGGTCCGCTTGTCTCCTCCAAATAGACTTGGTCCCTTTCTTCTCGAGTGTCTGTGTAAGGAGGGGGAGAAACGTCCTCCACTTCTAATGACTGCTCACAGTCAAGGGAGCTAGCATCGTCTAGTTAGCCGTCGTCTTCGTCACTGCCGCGGCTCCGCCCTCTCGGTCCTCCAGGCAACGCCTACTAATGTTGCAGTTTTTAAAATTGATATGTGGGTGGAGTAAGACTCTGAGGGGGGAGTGACAACTTCTTTAAGTTAGGTTTGGATTTATTCATGTAAAATGTTTTGTTAAAATAACCAAGATCCTCATCCACAAGTGAGTTAACTTCTGGCGGCAAAGTGCCAGCAGGGGTGCCCATTCTGATTCTGGCATGAAAGGTTTTGCTTTACCTGTTTTAGTGTTACCATCTTCCTTAAAATGAACAGCTAGTTTGATTCTCCTGTGATATTTTTGTAAGTCATGTCTAATCTGAAGCATTGTGTCATTATTTTTAGCTTTGCTGTGAGAGGGATGAAGGTTAAACCCCTGTTTAACAAAGAACGCTGTGCATCAGACAGTGCGAAAGTTCTGGACAAGTTACAAACATTGTTATTAACAATGCTTCTATGCCCTTCTTGTCCTGGTAGGCTATCAGGGCTGCCTATTTTAACCAGGCAGACCAGTGGTCCAACATTCTGGCAGCCGTGAATCTGGTCCAATGGACCTTGTCTGGTTTAACCCTGAAAAAGGCAGGGGTAAACCTGTTGAGCTGAGAAATATGCATATTAAGATGTGTGAGCATGGCTTGCTCCCTGTGTGATGAGGAAGAAAAGTTCAACACAGGGACAAAGATCTCAGCATTAGGACACCTAAGTTTTGCTACTTTAATGGCAGTTTGCATTTCCTTAACCAGCACCCTTTTGTCCTTCTGTGCTCTGTTGGTAATACCAAATGAGAGGTTCAGTCACCCTACCTGCTCCATTCATCCAGATTTGAGGAACAGGCTGGTGACATGTCTCCACTTGGCTCCAGGAAAACTGTCCACCTGGATGTTGTTGCTGCTGCCACTTGTCACAGGTAGGTGTGCAACATTCGAGTCCCCCAGAACCACATATTTTGCTATCGGGTTAAGCGACCAGTCCCGTGATTTTTTACCAGTGTTTGTGTGTCTGGTTGTGGCATTTACCTGAGATGAAGGTGATTCACCAGTCCCGGTGGGGGTGGTGGCGGTGGCTACGGTGAGCGGTGGGTGAGTCGTTTGCTGGAAGGAAAGTTGCCTCTGTGTGCTCTTTTCCATTCGGCGACGGAGGGCGATCGGCGTGGGCCCCAGCAGTGGTGGAGCAGAAGCAGCAGCTGGTGGGTTTGAGAGCAGCATTGCTTCATACTCCTGAATATCTTCTATGATGGTCTGTTCATCTGCTGTCAAGCTACTGGGTAGAGGCGGAGACTCCATCGCGACTGAAGGGGAGGATCCTGTTGTCCTCTCGGTGTGTGTTTCCCCCTGGCTGGATGATTTCCGCTGCCTTTGGGAAAAAGACGGCACCTGTGGAGTGCTGCGTGCCTGAAGTGATGGTGTGGGTGGTGTTGCTACAGCTGGAAGGAGGGGGCAGCTGCTGTGGTCTTCTTCGTTGGATGCTGTAGGTCAGTGGTTCCAAACCTGGGGGTCCCGACCCCCACAAGGGGGCGCCAAAGCCTCTCAGTGGGTCGCCAGCACCTCTCCACTTTAAGGGGTTAAAACTTGATTTATTACTTGTTTATAGCCTACATTTTGCTCACTTTTTTTCATGAGTGAAACGTTTACTGATATTAAGACAGGAAATAATTAGTACAGAAAAAGTAACACACTTTTAACAACATTTTGCTCAGCTCACTGTTTTATTATCAAGTGTCAAAAGTTCATTAAAGATAGGACTGGTTGATTAATCACAGCCTTTACAGTAAATAATTTAGTATAAACAGTAATATACACATTTAAGTACATTTTGCTCAGTGTATTTTTTTATGTGTCAAACGTTTATTGAAAGGAATGATTGATTTATCAGTGTTTATCACTGTGGGGTTGTATACTGTTGATCTTAAGTGGAATTACCCTGTGGAAACAGCAATTTTCCATTTTAGAGCAATTTGAAATCGTTAAAGGTAGGTCAATTGTGGACAATTTAAAAATGCCTTTATTTTGGAAAGCACCAACAGAATAACTTGATATGTATAGGGTATCACTGTGGGGTTGCATACTGTTGATCTAAAGTGGAATGACCCAGTGGAAACAGCAATTTTCCATTTTAGAACTTTTTGAAATCACTGAAAGTTTGGTCGTAAATGGGCAATTTAAAAAGGCCTTTATTTTGGAAATCACCATCAGAAAGACTTGATATTGATATGGTATCACTGTGGGGTTGTATACTGTTGATCTAAAGTGAAATGACCCATTGGAAACAGCAATGTTCCATTTTAGAGCATTTTGAAATCACTGAAAGTTTGGTCATTTATGGGCAATTTAAAAAGGCCTTTATTTTGGAAAGCACCATCAGAATGATTTTATATTGACTTGGTATCACTGTGGGGTTGTATACTGTTGATCTAAAGTGGAATGACCCAGTGGAAACAGCAAGTTTCCATTTTAGAGCATTTTGAAATCATTGAAAGTTTGGTTGTGTATGGGCAATAAAAAAAAATCTAAAAATTAAATTAAAAATTTCAAAATGCTCTAAAATAGAAAATTGCTGTTTCCACTGGGTCATTCCACTTTAGATCAACCGTATACAACCCCACAGTGATACCGTATCAATATCAAGTCATTCTGATGGTGCTTTCCAAAATAAATGCCTTTTTAAATTGCCCATATACGACATTTGAAATCGTTAAAGGTAGGTCAATTGTGGACCATTTAAAAAAGCCTTTATTTTGAAAAGCACCATCAGAATGACTTTATATTGATATGGTATCACTGTGGGGTTGTATACTGTTGATCTAAAGTGGAATGACCCAGTGGAAACAGCAGTTTTCTATTTTAGAGCATTTTTAAATCACTGAAAGTTTGGTCGTATATGGGCAATTTAAAAAGGCCTTTATTTTGGAAAGCACCATCAGAATGACTTGATATGGATATGGTATCACTAAGGGGTTGTATACTGTTGATCTAAAGTGGAATGACCCAGTGGAAACAGTAATTTTCCATTTTAGAGCATTTTGAAATCACTGAAAGTTTGGTCGTATATGGGCAATTTCAAAAGGCCTTTATTTTGGAAAGCACCATCAGAATGACTTGATATGGATAGGGTGTCACTGAGGGGTTGCATACTCTTTATCTAAAGTGGAATGACCCAGTGGAAACAGCAATTTTCCATTTTAGAGCTTTTTGAAATCACTGAAAATTTGGTCGTAAATGGGCAATTTAAAAAGGCCTTTATTTTGGAAAACACCGTCAGAATGATTTCATATTGACAAGGTATCACTGTGGGGTTGTATACTGATGATCTAAAGTGGAATGACCCAGTGGAAACTGCAAGTTTCCATTTTAGAGCATTTTGAAATCACTGAAAGTTTGGTCGTATATGGGCAATTTAAAAAGGCATTTATTTTCGAAAGCACCATCCGAATGACTTGATATGGATAGGGTATCACTGAGGGGTTGTATACTGTTGATCTAAAGTGGAATGACCCAGTGGAAACAGCAATTTTCCTTTTTAGAGCATTTTGAAATCACTGAAAGTTTGGTCGTATATGGGCAATTTAAAAAGGCCTTTATTTTGTAAAGCACCATCAGAATGACTTGATATTGATATAGTATCACTGTGGGGTTGTATACTGTTGATCTAAAGTGGAATGACCCAGTGGAAACAGCAAGTTTCCATTTTAGAGCATTTTGAAATCATTGAAAGTTTGGTTGTGTATGGGCAATTAAAAAATCTAAAAATTTAATTAAAAATTTCAAAATGCTCTAAAATTCGAAATTGCTGTTTCCACTGGGTCATTCCACTTTAGATCAACAGTATACATCCCTGCAGTGATGCCACATCATTTTCAAGTCATTCTGATGGTGCTTTCAAAAATAAAGGCCTTTTTAAATTGCCCATATACGACATTTGAAATCGTTAAATGTAGGTCAATTTAGGACCATTTTAAAAGGCCTTTATTTTGGAAAGCACCATCAGAATGACTTGATATGGATAGGGTATCACTGAGGGGTTGCATACTGTTAATCTAAAGTGAAATGACCCAGTGGAAAAAGGAAGTTTCCATTTTAGAGCATTTTGAAATAACTGAAAGTTTGGTCTTATATGGGCAATTTAAAAAGGCCTTTATTTTGGAAATCACAATCAGAATGACTTGCTATTGATATGGTATCACTGTGGGGTTGTATACTGTTGATCTAAAGTGGGAGGACCCAGTGGAGCA